GGGGCGGGGCGAGGAGGGAGAGAGGGAGGGAAGGAGGGAGGGGCGCCCCGGCCCGCGGTGCGTCAGGTGTCACCGAGGAGCCGCGGGTAGCCGCCGGAGGTCCCGAGGCCAAGGGCGCAGGAGACACCGGGAGAGGCAGGGCTAGCTGGGCGAGCAGGGATGCTTCGTACACTGGAGCCCAAGGTCGATGCAGCGCTGGGTCCTGCCTTTCGGAATAAGGATGATGTCACCCAGACGCCCACAGCGCTGACATGGAAGCACGGGCCTTCTGCAGGCTCAGATCATCAGAGTGACACACCAGGCCGGCCGCAAAGGACACCGTCCTCGCCCGGGATGCCCAAGGTTAAGAAAGCGCTTTTCCAAAAACTTGGACTGCACAGTTCCTATACTGAAGGTTTTTTTTTTTTTTAACTTAACCAAACGAGAAAGAAATTTAAGGTAAGATTTCAGAGCTAAGCTAGCTAAGGAGAGAGGACAGCCCGTGAAGTTAGCTGTGTTACAGAAACGTCTCCGTAATTAAAGAGTTGCCGCATTCCCTTGTCGTTGTTACAATAGACGACATTATGGACCTTATGGCCGGCTAGTGCTGAGTTTCTGAGTTGACATTACTTTCTCTAGTCAACAACGTGCCATCAACAAGTATTCGGTGTACATATTAGGACTTTCGGAGCCACTGAGGATGCTGCGGTGAGCAAAAGTGAACGGCTCTTTCCTGCATGGAGCTCGGAGCTTAATAAAGGGAGAGAGAAAGCAAAGCCAATACAAGCATTCAAAGGAAATGAACTGACTCTATCGTAATAAAAAAACTACATAATTTTTAAATGACTCATTTGTTTCCATTGTGTAGAGAAAGCTCAGCAGAGTATTGCCCACTTCTCTGTAATTCTAATCACCTATGTCTTTTCTCCCTACACGTTGCCGAGCCTGAGCCCTCCTTAGAATGCAGACTGAAGAAAGTTGATCTTGAAGCCTTCCCTCCGACTGCCTGGAAATGAGGGAACGGGTACATTTTGTGCCTCCCAATCACAAAACACTTGTCAAACATAACTCATCCTGAGGGAGAGCCAAGGCTATGTTTTCTTCATTTTCTGCTGGGTACTGTGTATTCTAGAAGGAGCCAAACACATTTACATTCAACTCATCATACCAAGCAGTGTGCATAGAAACCTAAATTACTTGCTACCTAATTCTCGGTGTGTGTGTGTGCAGGGACTTTTTGCCATCCTGTGCAGACTCACTGTTTCTCTGATTGCCTCTCTCTGTAGCACCTCCTGTGCCCCCAGGGTTCCAGGAGAGAGCCCACGGCACCCTCCTCTCTGTCTCCCAGAGGTGCTTCTTTACCTCTAGAGTGTGGGCTCCTTCAGAGCAGGCACCATTCTGGGTCCTGTGTTCCACCCAGCCACCAAGTGTCCCGAGTCCAGTGCTGACCCGTGGTAGGAACCTAGTAAATAATGTTATGAAGGCGTTTGAAGACAAGCCACCTCAGAACATGCCAGATCATCACCTTGCTAATTTCACTCTGAAATCCCTTCAGAAGGAGCCTACCTTCCTGCAGCAAGACAAGGTTCTTTGGGGGAGGACCTACTTCACAGAGCAGTGCTGGGAGATGTCCTTACTCTTTGGAGACTGGTAATTGAGAATTCTGTAAGCCTGGAAAGACAAACTCCAAAGTAATCCTTATCTTACTGTAGTCCCCTCCATCCACTGCCTTCTCTTTCCTAATAACACCCCTAGAACGTAATGCTCTCTCAGATAGAGACTGCTTCTGCCATTTCTTCACAAATTTAGTGTTCTTTGTCTAAAAATGTATAAAAATATCATGGTGTGGTCATTCTGAATTCTGCTTTTTTGTGAAGATCCTAGGAAATTAGTAAAAATTTCATAAATTTTTCTTGTGAATCAGCTCTTGCATTCATTAGGTTACTGCATCCACCTGAAAGCCCACAGAAAAGATAACTGGCATTCACTGGGTTGGATGTTATTAATAACTCCTATTATCACTGAGCTTTTTCACTTATAGATTAAAGTTACTGTTTAGCACATGACTGATTGCATTGCCTTTAATCATGTTCTTAAAAATATTGACATCAAAATCTATGGGAAATAGTCTATGTCTCAAAGATTGAATTCATGTTAGTGTCGGTTGCTATTATTATTATTATTATTATTGTTATTATTATTATTATTATTATTTCAAAAGTTAAAATTCAGGGCTGGGAAGTTGATGGCTCAGGGGTTAAGAGTGCATACTGCTCTTGAGAAGACCTGAATTTTGTTCCCATCACCCATATTGGACTGCTCACAAACACCTGGAACTCTGGCTCCAAGTAATCCAATCTAGAAATAAATCTAAAAAGAAAAGTTAAACTTCTCTTAGGCTAAGGTACACAACACTCACAGCTTTATTTACCAGTAATTTCAATCCCAGTTATGATGCACACACAAACCAGTGCATTCATGTGCAAAGATTTCTGCTTTCCATATAAAGTTAACAAACTATGGACATGTCAGCATGCTTATGAACTTCAAACTGTTGTGTCTCTGTGTATTACACACACACACACACACACACACACACACACACACACACACGCGAGAAAAATGGAGCAGGGGGTATTATGGTAGCACCTTAGAATCCCTTTTACAGTACTATACTAGCCAAAAGTTTTCAAAATGATCCAAAAAGAAGTTTGTGTCAAAATATATGCTAACTTACTGTTTCAAAGAACCAAGCTGCAAAGCTGCAGGTTTTAACATCATTGTTAGTGTGGTGATGCATTTTACTTAAAATAACTTTCTCCCTTCCTGGTAGTATTTGTGAGCTCTGCCAGCCAACTTCCTGTGTGACCTTTCAGAGACCTCAGCAGCCATAGCCATCTCTATTCTCAGTGGCTCCTTACAGCTCTGCCCAGCTCTGCCCAGCTCTGCCCAGCTCTGCCCAGGCAGGAACAGTCCAGACTGCTCCTGGTCTGAGGAGGCTCATTCATGGTCACTTCAGTGCTCACAGAAAAAGGCAGATTCAGAGAGAGAGAGAGAGAGAGAGAGAGAGAAGGCTCATGCCGGGTGGTAGGGTCAAGGTAAGCTGAACCTTACATATGCAGAGTGATTTTTCCCCTCTTGATTGAGACAAGGACATTTATATCTCTACCTGCTACTCAACACTCAAGCACTGGGTACATGTAAAATATATTTACTTGGCTTTAAGTAGTCTCTTATAACACTAAGTCTCATACTTCTGAACAGTGAAAAACTAGATGGAACCTCTTCAATTTTTGTTTGGGTTTTTTTTTTCCGAGGGGGGGGGGGGTTGTGGTGGTGGTTTTCTTGTTTGTTTATTTGTTGTTGTTTACCTGAGAGGAGATTTGTTTATTTTTGTTATTTCTCCACCAGAACACATTTCAGACATTAGTCTCTGCACAAAGTATAAGCCGAGTTTCTATCCTCATTGAATGTAAGATTAAAAGTTGCATACTTAAAAAAAAAAAAAAAAAAGCTTAGGGAGCTGGAGTGACTCCAGTTCTGCATGATCCAGAGCTCTCTTCTGGCTCTCTCCTACATGTATGTAGTGCACATAAACTCATGCAGGTGTACACACATACACATAAAATTACCAAATAAACAAACAAATCTTGTTTTAAAAATTGGAACAGTATGTCTTCTTCAAGGAAATAAAACGTAAAGAGACAGAAAGTGGCCAGAGTGAGAACACAGCAGGCAGAGGGGGCGGGGGCAGTCAGCCCCAGTGTGAAGCGCAGTCCTTTTTCCTTCTGAAAGGGTGGGCAGTGCGAGCCGAGACGGCCAGCCCACAGTTCTCCACTTCTGGAGTGACTGCTTCATCCACATCTCCAAGATCCGGCCATGGTGAAAAGCAGCTTTAAAAACCGAACACTCTAAGTGGCCCGCTCCTTGTGAGCCAAGAGTCTCCTACGCATCCCACCAAACACTAAGAGATTTTGGCCTGCTTCTCTCATTGAATTGCCCACCCCCCTTGATGCTCAGGTCAGAGGTCTAGAAGACTGAGAAGCTTCAGATTGCAGTACCTCAGTTACCCTTCAGATCCCTGGAAATCAACAGCGTCTGTGCGTATGGAAGCCAGGTGCAGAGTCCAGAAGACTACACAGCGAAGAGGTCCATGCCCTTGTCAGGACCATCCACCCCTGGCTTCTCCACTTGAAGCATTTGTCCTTCCAAATACCGTTTGAGTGGTCCCCACTGGGAAGACTCTCGGAGCCCCATCACCAACAACCATCCAGCTTCCCTTCAGACTTGAACTACTTGATAAACTTGATAATTCTGTCAAGTTTTCTCTTAACATGGTGTACTCAACACTGGAGTCATTCCAGTTAAACAAGAAGGATTTGAGATTGTTAACTGGAGTGGGGGACTCACTATGTATCCCAGGATAGCTTTGAATTTGCAACCCTCTTGCCTTGTCTCCTCCTGAGTGTTGGGATTACAAACCTATTCCACCATGCATAGACTTCAAAACTCCTCTCCTTACACTTACCTTGATAATTAGAGGGCTATTTGGAGAATATTTGAGAAAGGAATGATCAGTGGTTACTTTTTCCCATTTAAACAAAGTGTATTATGTGTATCCAAAAGGAAAATGCCTCTTTGTTATTGGGACCACTGCTTTTCAAAACCTGAAGTGTACCTGGATTGCCTGGAGAGCC